GAACAAGGTTCCAAAACATGCAAACAGAAGAACACCTGGCTGTCATACTGGTGTTGAAATAGTTTTACTATTTTCCATAAAAAAGCACCAAAATGAAGACGCTGTATTTGCACCCTGTACCTTTGCTCATTCTTTTTGACAGCCTCTTGTTGGTCAGTTCTGAAGCCATGGGAATTTCATCCGGATCTCCTCCTTCGTCCTCAATAGCCTGAGGGAGACAGCAATGCAGCCCTGTTGTACTGCTACAACGTGCGCTTTGTCAGATGGGGCTCCCAGCTCACGCAGCCCCATCAGAGACAAACTGTGCTATGAAACAGCTCCGCAGACGCACTGAGATGCAATCCAGGGGTGCAGATCCGCATAGTTTTATACGCAAAGCTTTACAGCATAGATTGGGTTTGGGTTTCGGGTGGTGCTGTGTGGACCCCGGGGTTGGACTTAACGATCCCCGTGTTCCGATCGTAGAACTGATCGAGCTGGAAGGTAACGGCCATCAAGCACACCTCCCCTGCAACGAACGGGGCCGCGTTTGTGAGAAGCCACAAAGGACTCGAGATCCGCAGCCGACCAAGCCTGCTGAGAGCCACGCAGGAGAGATGGAAGAAGCGAACGAAGGGCGCGCGGAGGGAAGCCGAGCACGGAAAGGGAATCGCGCCGACGGAGCGGACGGGAGAACGGGAACGGCCCGGCCCCCGCCCCGCGCTGCCCTCAATGCGGCGCCGCGCCAACCGCGCATGCGCCAACGGCCCTGGGCCGTGGGACAAAGGACCCGGATGAGGCTCCCCCGTCCCCCCTTCCCCCCCCCCTCCCCGTTTCCCCCCCCGGTTGGCGCCTCGCTCACCTTCCTCAGCCGCTCCATCAGTACGCTCTTGTTGCCGCCCGTGTCCAGGTTACGGCGCTTCAGCTCTGCCCGCAGATCGATGACCCGCAGCTCGCTCAGCCGCCGGGTTTCGGGTTCCGAGCCGAGCGCTGCGGCCCCTCCGGGGGATGTCAGCTCCCCCAGCCCGGCCGCTGATTGACTCTCCGCCATCAAGGCCCCTTCGAGGTCCCGTTGCGAGCCCGAACGCGAGGGAGGTTACGGCGCGCTCCCACAGCTAACCTTGTGATCGCGGCACAAAATGGTGGGGAAGCCGAGACGCGCTGAGGGAAAGGGGAAAAAAAAAAAAAAAGGGGAAAGAAAAAAAAAAAAAAAAAAAAAAGGCCTACTCCGCGCAAACTCGGCGAGAAGGGCGACGAATGGCGGAGGGAGGGGAAAGGCGGAGCCTGAGGGAGATGCGAAGCGCAGCGGTGCGCTCCGTGCGCGCCTGAGGGCAGCTCGCCAACGTCTGCGCATGCGCCTGCGCTCTGGGAGGCACTGCGGCTGCGTGGCGCCGCCGATAGCACAACTGCGCCTGCTCGGCGAGGCGCAAGCGTAATACTGCGCATGCGCATCTCCGGAGCGTGCGGCATCTTTCCTGCGCGTGCGCGGCGCCCCTCACTCGGTGCTGCGGGCTCTCCGCGCGTGCGGGCTGCGCTCGCTCCCTCCCTCCCCTTCTCCTCAGCGCTTTCGCCACCATTTTGTGTTGCGACCGCACTTCGCGCCGTTGTTTTCACCCCGTCGTTCTCAGTCGAAACAACGGCTCTATGGCGGAGAGTCACTCAGCTACTGGGCAGGGTGAATACGTGTCCCTGAGCGGGTGCGGAACGCCGAGCTCCGAGCCCGAAACCCGTCGGCTGAGCGAGCTGCGCGTGATCGATCTGCGGGCGGAGCTGAAGCGCCGCAGTTTGGATAGCGGTGGGAACAAGAGCGTCCTGACGGAGCGGCTGAGGAAGGTGAGCGGGAGCGCTGCCGGGGGGGGAGGGGGACGCTCACACGGCGCGTGCGTGGCGCTGAGGGGAAAATGGCGCCAAAGCGGCGCTGAGGGCAGCCGGGCTGTGACGGAGCGGCGGGGCTGCAGCGCTGCGGTGGGCACTGCGAGCGGCCCTCTGTGGGATGCGAGGTTTGAGGGTGGTGTAAAATCACGGAATATCTCACTTCGAGGTGGATCTGCAGGGGTAGCTGTGCGGCTGTTACGGTTGGGCTCTTTTCAAACGACTCTTCCAATCCGCTCGGCTTCGGGGGCTCGCAGTGCCACATCGCTGCGGTTCAGAACGCCTCCAGGCACGGGGCTCCTCCGTGCTGCAGCTGCGGGCCGTGCCGTCCCTCAGTAACTATGTCCCTCAGTAACTGTCGCCTTCTGTTCCCCACAGGCCATCGAGGAGGAAGGGGGGAATCCTGACGAAATACCCGTGATCTCTGAAAGCACAATGAAGAGAACCCCAAAAAGAAGCAGCAAAGGTACAGGCGGTGTAGAGAGGATTTCTACCCCTCTTCTCTTTGGGTTTTCTAATAGTTATTACCCATTAAATGCAATCTTGATTTTTTTTATTTTTCTCATCAATTTGCTTTTCCTTTTGGAAAAGTGCTCAGTTTAATTGCAGCAATGGACATTTTGCAATCAATGCTTACACAATTGTATACAGACAGTTTTCCTTCTTATCATAGAATGGCCTGGGTTGAGAAGGAGCACAGTGCTCGTCCAGTTCCAACCCCCTGCTCAGTTTAAAACCATTCCCCTTCTTCTATCGCTATCCACCCACATAAACAGCTGTAGGCTGTTTATTCCAGAGCTTAGTCTGAAATACACGTTGCTGTCTGTCAGTCACAGAATCCTACAATGGCCTGGGTTGCAAAGCAGCACAATGCTCATCAGTTCCAACCCCTGCTGTGTGCAGGTCACCAACCAGCAGCCCAGGCTGCCCAGAGCCACATCCAGCCTGGCCTTGAATGCCTGCAGGGCTGGGGCATCCACAGCCTCCTTGGGCAACCTGTGCCAGTGCTTCACCACCCTCTGGGGGAAAAACTTCCTCCTCATATCCAGCCTAAACTTCCTTAGTCTCAAGTTAAAACCATTCCCTGTTGTTCTATCACTATCCGCTTTTTTTTTTTTTCTTTTTTTCTTCTTTCCTGGAAACACTTCTGAAAGAATGAACATTTGAGATAGATAACTGCAATTTCTACTCAGTCAGATGTAAGGGGTGCTCAGTGCTGCTCAAAACCTGTGTCAGAGCTTGCGCTGTGCTGCCTTACTGGTATAGAAAGCATAGAAATGCTCGATTTTTGGAAAATGAGGAAAAAGTGGATAGCCAAGTAGGATAGAATGCCTGTTATGAAAATACATAACTTGAAAACTATATATTTGTAACTTCTTATATTCTAACAATCAATGCAATTAGGACGTAGACCAGATGAAGAGGGAGCTGAAGACAACGGCCTGGAGGAGGATTCTGGAGACGGGCAGGTATGCAGAGCTGTGCTGGAAGTGAAGAAAGAGCAGTGTTGTTTCTAAGCTACAATAACTTTTATATATGCTTTTTTTTTTTTTTTTTTCTTTTGTTTCTTTTTACAGGAGGACATTGAAACAAGTTTGGATAACTTGCAAGACATTGACATGATGGATATTAGCGTGTTGGATGAAGCTGAAATAGACAACAGCAATGCTGGAGATTGCGGAGAGGATTACAGTGCTGATCACATTCTTGACTCGCTGTCTGATAGTAGAGAAAATGCTGATGCAGAAATGAAAGAACTTCCAGATCAGCCTCCAGACTATGATGTAGGAGACTTGGAGGCGTCCCCACAATTGTCAGAAATTAAAGAAGAGTCGAGAGAAATATCAGTAATGATGGTATGCATCTGTTCTGTGTGTGGAGTCAGATTCTGGTTGTTTTATGTTTGTTTTGTTTTCCAAGTTCAGTAGTGAAAGAGTCGTCAAGGAGTAGTTGGAACCACTGGGGGCTCTACTGCTTCTCTCCATCACTGCTTTTTGTTCCTTTACATATTTGGGGAAACATTCTTGATTTTTAAACGCTTTGGTGTTTTTTGTATACATCATATGTACGTATATGTCACCTCTAGTCTGGGAAACAATGTTTTAATAACTTCATACTTCTCTCATCTTCATATCTTTCCTTTGCTTTTGTCTGCCTCTGTATGTTTCACCTCCTCAGCTGCACAGCAGCACGCATGTATTCTAGGTGCTTCTTTTTGTCAAGATACGGCCTTGCACTTGCTGAAGTTTTACAGGTTGGTTTTCCATGCTTGTCTGCCTGTTGCCCTGACTTCACCACAGTACTCATTTCTGCTAGAAGGTGTCTTTCCTTAAGTCAGGTTTACCTCCTGCAATGTTCCACAGGATGTTGAAGAATGCTCTTTGTGTGCAGTCTGATGGGGAGGTGCAGCCCTTGTTCCATCAGCCCGGTCTGTCAGCTCCCCAGATGGGGACTTTTTCCTCCATTCGCAACTCTGGCAGTTACAGCAGTAGACTTAGCTCTGTCCTCCAGCATTCCTTACCCTCAGGACAAACGTGAATGCTGAGAAAGCAGGGTTTAATTCAGCGAGGAAAGTGCCAGAATCTAGGTCAAATGCTGCAGTCTTTACTCAGCATGTTCCTCGCTGCTCACTGAGGTTTCTTGGCTCTGTGTTTGCCACAGGGTGTAAAAGCAATGCTGCAGGAAGGATTGACCTTAAAAGATCTCTGTGAGGCATCCCGTATTTCAGAGGTAGCGAGGCCTTCAGCGGCAGCCATCGCTCAAGTTTTAACCTCATTCCTTCTTTTGGGCACTGGAGATCTTGGTGTGCTGCTTAGCAGTGAGAATCAGCTCCAGCCTTGGGTTTCTCATCCGGGTTTCACTTCCAGTGCCGTGATGTAGATAACGAGGTGTCTGTTCTGTTCTGCGCTTTCTCCAGGTGGAGGTGGAAGATGTTGGAAACAGTTTTGATGCAGCTTCGTCTGAATTAATTGAAATAAAGGTAAATTGTGACCTGTTTTTACAAATGAAAAGCTTTCATACGTGTCGTATCGTCTTCGTAGGGAGTGGAAACCGTAAAAAGTAACATTAAATCTTCTTGTGAGAAATCTTTTTAAAATGCAGTGGTTTCAAACCTGAGATCAGGAGAACCACAGCGAGGGAAGGGATGTGTCCCATGCTGGGTAACATCTCAGCCTTCTGTTGAGTACTGATATTTCTCTTCCCCTTTCCCCACAGGAAATTGAAGAACTGCCTTTGGAGCCAGGTACTGTTTATAAAAATATTAATTTAAAAAAAAAAAAAAAAACAAACCACAAAAGCAAAAAACAAAACAACCAAAATCCAGGGCTTTAAAACAGTTAAATTCCTCATTTAATCTTTTTTATATCCCTGTTTCCTTTTAAATTCATTACTGTAGTGTACGTTGTTATGATGGAGAATCCAGGTCATGCAGGGTCATAGAGATTGGAAACCCAGTCATATCACCAGATCTGTGGATGAGAACTGTTTGAAATGTGTATTTAACGTGGCGAAATTGTTCTGTGCAACTGCAGAGGAGCTAAAGAGTGAGCCTTAAAGGCACAAAGGTTCTGAGCCTAAAACAGATCTTGTGATATCACGCTGTACTCTAGTTCTGGGAGTGTGAATACAGGAGCGCAGGGCATAGCGAGCTGTGCTGCAGAACAGAAGGTAAAGAGTGGCTGGACTTCAAAGGAGCACAGTGCTGTCATGGGACGTCCCACGGATCACGTTTGGTTTCTGGACTGCAAACACAGCCATCTGCCGTCAGAATATCTGCTGTCAGAAGAAGGCCAGGTTTCATGTTGGACTGTCTGCTAAAAGAATGCTGCCGAAAACTGAAAATTGAACTCTCAGTGCTTTGCTGTGTTGAGATCTTGGACTGTGGAAGCCAACTAGAGAAGAAACAGAGCGGAACGGTTCCACGAAGAGGATCAAGGATGAGCCAGAAGGTTTTGTTAAATCTGGGGGGGG